GGAGGGAGGGAGGGAGGGAGGGAAGGAAGGAGGAAGGAAGGAAGGAAGGAAGGAAGGAAGGAAGGAAGGAAGGAAGGAAGGAAGGAAGGAAACCCAGCATGGTAACTCACACCTACAATGCCAGAACTCAGGGAGGCTGAGGCAGGAGGATCAAAAGTTCAAGGCTAGCCTGGGAAACAAGACCTGTCTCAAACCAAACCAACAAATCAACAACAACACACCTAAGTGGTGGAAAGCTGGATTAGCATGTACAAGACCCAGGCAATGTCCAGTTCTCACATATCTGCACATCCACCCACCCACCAATCCATCCCCCCAGCTCCGGTCGAACTAGGGATCCGTCTAAGTGCTGGCGATACACTGGTCAGCAACACTGACAGAAGCCCCTCCCTGCGGCTGTTGGTTATATCTGTAAAGAAGGAAGGGCCCAAGCTCTCCAGATGGCTCAGCGGGTAAAAGCCTTCAGCGGCTTAGCCTTTGGCCTGAACTCGATGCCCGGAACCTGTGTAAAGGTGGAAAAAGAGAGCCAACCCCTCACAAGCTGTCCACACATCGCCCTGGTGCATGCATACACGCACAGACCCCCGCATGGGTGCTCCTGGTGTTCAAGGAGTTGCTGGAAAAGCATCACAGAGCAAGCACCAGCGGCAGCTGTGGTAAGCCAGCTGCGGTGAGCCCGGCTGCAGAGGCGCTTGCTGGAGTCCCAGCAGCTCAGGAGGTTTGAGCTGAGGAGCTGCAGAACAGTCTGGAAGAGGCAGGAGGTTGGAGGGGGAGCCCAATCTAACCTCAGATCAGTCTTTGGATACAGAGTAGCTGGAAGACCATGGTGACTTAATGGCGGTGACACACTTGCATGTACACCGGGGGACCTCTCTTGGCTCCTCCCTGGCATCTACTCTACCTCTCTCACAGGCGATGACCCTGGTCCTTGCCCTGGCAACGCTGATAGCTGCCTTTGGTTCATCCTTCCAATATGGGTACAACGTGGCTGCTGTCAACTCACCGTCAGAGGTAGGTCACTGTGGTAAGTGAGCCCCAGCGGCTGACACAGGGGAGGGCCTCAGAGGGGCACGTGGCCCCGAGAACAAACACAGCCTTTAAGGGAAAAGAGAGGAAAGTCCCTTCTCCCCAGACCCCAGATTCCCACGAACGTGCACCTTCGGTGGCCTGATAGCCTGTGGAGTCGTCTGGAGGGCCATGGCTGTGGCAGCCGGAAGGCAGCAGCCATTCCTGGGCGTGAGACCTCCCCAGGTGGTGTCCTGCCAGAGCTCTTCCCCTGTCACAGCCCACGGCTGCCCAGGCAGCTGTCTCTACCTCCAGTAGGGCCGTCCCATCTGCTAACTCTTTCTGCAAAATGAGCTCAGCTTGCTCTGCTGGTCTGTCCCCTCTGTCCCCCCAGATCATGAAGCAATTTTACAATGACACCTACCATAGAAGAACGGATGATAAGCTCGATTCCTTCACCTTGACGCTCATGTGGTCCCTGACGGTGTCCATGTTCCCCTTCGGAGGCTTCTTAGGTTCTCTCATGGTTGGAACCTTGGTGAATAAGATGGGCAGGTAAGAGAAGAGTAGGTTGGTGTTTGTGTGTGTGTGTGTGCTTGTGTTGGTATGTGACCTGACCCTTGTGGCCTCTCCCCACCCCATAAAATAAAAATAAAATTCTTTAAAGTAAAAACTGAAATTAAGAAAATAGATTTTTTTTTCTTAAAAAAAAAAGTCCAATTTGTGTTATTTCTATGCTCTCTGGAGCACGGTAAGTAGCCTGCTCCTTTAAACAGATCCGAGTCCTTTCCCTCCTGAACCTCCGCCCAAAGCCATCAGTTGTGGAAAGCTATACTTCAGCCTCCTTGTCACACTTTTTAAGAGTTCTCTTCAATGTCTTCCTGTTTGAACTGCTCCTAGCTAAGACCAGTAAGCTCTTGCTCAGGCAGGGCCACGCCTTGCTCACGGAGCTGACCACTTAGGACTCAGTCAGCATGGGTTCACTTGTTTGCAAGCTGCCTTAAATATTAAAAAATATTTAAGACATTAAAAAAAAGACATTTAAAAATATTTAAGACATTAAAAAAAAGACATTTAAAAATATTTAAGACATTAAAAAAATAGCCACAGCAATTTAATTTATGGATATTTTCTTGGTGCCAAACACGCCTCAACGCACTCTCAGACGTACGTTCATAGCTGAGCAGCGTGGCACACTCGGGATCCCAGCTCCTCGGAGGCAGCAGCGTCTAAAGTTTTAGGTCAGCGTATGTGGCATAGTGAAATAGTGTTGTTTTTTAAATCTCTTATATACGCGTGAACACGCTGCTTACACGCGCTTGTGCGCACAGAGATGAGAGTTTTGCATTCTGTCACTGAGCTGAGCCTTCATCACACGGCGGGAAGTGTCTATGTATCTTGAAGCCCTGTTGAAACCTCTGTGGACAGGGTGCTTCTATCTTCCTTTGATTTTCTTTTTTAAGTTTTATTTATTTATTACATATACAGTATTCTGCCTGCAAGTACAGCTGCAGGCCAGAGGGGGGCGCCAGATGGTGGTGAGCCACCATGTGGTTGCTGGGACTTGAACCCAGGTCCTCTGGAAGAACAGCCAGTGCTCTTAACCTCTGAGCCATCTCTCTGGCCCCCACTAGCTTTCTTTGTTCATTCTTGTGTTTTCTCTTTTTTTCTTTGGTGTGTTTTGCCGTTTTCCCCAAATGTGTTTTTATGTGCGTAGGTGTTTTGTCTGCATGTCTGCGCGTGCCGTGTGCATGCCGACTGCCAGAGGGCCACATCTCTCCAGGCCCCCTCTGCTTTTTTGCTTTTTATCATTTGTTTAGTTATTTGTTTTTCTATCATTTTGAATCTTATGTTTCTCAGCTCCTCTTTCCTTCATTCTAAGCATCTTTCTCTCCTGCGTTGTGCCTTGGTGCTATGTCTAAAAATGCATCTCAGCACCACCTAGACTTCACACCTCTAGAACACTCCAGTTTTACACTTTTGTCTCTTATCTTACTGAATTTTGTTAAGGGTACAAAAATCCATGTTTGGATTCATTTTTATCTGTTTGTCTGTTTTGTATTTTCTCCGTTTTATTTTGTGTATGACTGTGTTGCCCACATGTGCGTCTGATGCCCCGGGAGACCAGAAGGGGGCGTCAGATCTCCTGGAACCGGAGTTAGAAATGGTTGTGAGCTGCCATGTGGGTGCTGGGAACTGAACCCAGGTCCTCTACAAGAGAGGAGTGGTCTTAACCACTGAAGCATCCCTCTAACACGCGTGTGCGCGCGCGCATTATAATTGGCACCTACTACCACCAAGCCACATAACGGGTCCACACTGGGCCACCAGGCTTGGCCTGACCTGCTGGGCTCCCGTGATCCACACACCGCAGCCTAGTGCTAGGACCACAGGCCAGGCACAGCACACCAGGTTTACTTTACTGTATCTTAATCCACGCCTCTCCGCCCCCCCCCCCCCCCCCCCCCCCCCCCCCCCCCCCCCCTCGCTTCCCTTCCCCCCCCCCCCCCCCCCCCCCCCCCCCCCCCGCCATCTCTGTCCTTTGCTCTGCAGCAGGAGGCGCAGTTGACCCTGCCAGCCTCAGTCCCAGGGACGCTCCCTGCCGCCACTAGGGGGCGCTGCTCAGAGTGGCCATAAGGAGTGTTTGCTGATGAATGCGTGAAGGGAATGAACGAATCCTTAAGCTAACTTGGCTTTTACCATAACCCTCTGCAGAAAAGGGGCCTTACTCTTCAACAACATATTCTCCATCGTGCCAGCCATCTTAATGGGGTGCAGCAAAATTCTTGAATCATACGAGCTTATAATTGTTTCCAGACTTCTGGTTGGGATCTGTGCAGGTAAGGAACCCTTCCCTGTGACTCCCAGGGACTTGAGGTAGCCTGGGGCCGCAGAAGCACAGGGACCGGAGCTGACGCTCCACAGGTGCTTGGGTTTGTGCCTCGACCTCCTGGATGGGCAGCAGGCAGACCTTCGAAACAGTGCCTCCTGCAGGGGAAGCTGTCTTCTGATCACTTCCCAAGGCTGGGATTGAACCCAGGACCCCGTGAAAGCTAGACAAGCACTCTCGTCTGGGCCACAATTCCCAGCCCAAGAAAGCTGTTCTCTCTAGAGTAAACTACACAACCCCGAGTTTAGAAGGGTTGTTCCGGCCTAATTCTTTTTTCTCAGGGTCTCAGCATTGACTAAAACAATGGCAGCCTGGAGGGTAGTAGCATCTATTTAGTGAGCCGTGCCTTTGTTTGATAGACTGTCCTACGTCATGAGAACAAAAAGGTCTCATGAAATTTTGTTTTAGTCGTTGTCCATCTGTGCATGTGTGGGAGAACAAAGGTAAACAATAGACTTCACCTTTTTTAAAAATGATTTATATATTTTTGTGTGCATTGGTGTATTGCCTGCACATACGTCTGTGTGAAGATGCCAGATCCCCTGGAGTTGCAGTCACAGACAGTTAGTTGTGAGCCGCCATGTGGGTGCTGGGAATTGTGCCTGGTTCCTCTGGAAGAGCAGCCAGTGCTCTTAACCACTGAGCCAGCTCCAATTTCTTTCCTTCTTCTTCTTTTTTTTTTTTTTTTAAACTCTGGTCTTAAAAAGGTTCCAGAACTGGCTTGTCAACCTCAGCTGCTGGCTTCTCGGCTGCCTGGGATGTGCTGCACCGGTTTAGAAAGCTCTCCCTTTAAAGCCGCACTGTGGTGCCCCCAACAGTCAGCCTTTGGCAAGGCCCAGCCAGGAGGGTCCTTCAGAAGCAGGGCGTGCACCTGAACTCTGCCCTCCTTTCAGTTGGTGTCAGGTGACCTGCTGACCTTCCAGTTGCCAGGGAGGGACGGAGGGTGATTTGGCTGAATGTGAGCAAATCCCTAGTTTCATGAGCAGGCAGGGAAGTGTGGAAGCTGCCGCCAGAGGTGGTGCACAGCTTTGGTTCCAGCACTCAGAAAGTGGGGACAGATGGATCTCTGGGAATTTGAGGCCAACCTGATCTACAAGAGTTAGCTCAGGCCAGCCAAGCTGAAGAACTTCAAGGCAGCATGGTGGAGAGAAGCAAAACTATAGCCCTCGGGCCAACTTCACTCAACACTGAGCTCTTGATCCCCACCCCCACCCCCACCCCTGACTCCTCCCACCCCACCACACAAAACACACACATACACATACACATACACACACACACACACACACACACACACACACACACACACGATTTAAAAATCTTAACCTGGGCTGGAGAAATGACTCAGCAGTTAAGAGCACTGGCTGCCCATTCAGAGGTCCTGGGCTCTCAGCAACCACGTGGTGGCTCACAGCCACCTTTAATGAGGTCTAATACCCTCTTCTGTCTGTTGTTCTCTTCTGTCATGCAGGCACACATGCAAATAGAGCATTCATATACATAAATAAATAAATCTTTTAAAAAACAGAACTTAACCTAAGCTGGGCCTGGTGGCACACACCTATGATAAGAGGTACTTGATAAGCAAAGGAAAGATGATTGCAAGTTCAAGGTCTCCTTGGAGGACAGAATGAGTTCTCGATTGCTTGGACATAACCCTGTTTCAAAACAAAGCATAAAAAAGAGAGAGAGGAATGCAGCTCAGTGGTAGAGCACTTGCCTGCCAAGATCAAGGCTCTGGGTTCGTTCGCAGCACAAACACAAATAACTATAAACCTACATTTACAGGAACTCCTAACTATCCTCTAACACTTGCCATGCTGAGGCAGGAGGATTACCAGTTTGAGGCTAGCCTGGAAGTGTTTATATGTTTGTTTTGTTATATGTTTGATTGTCTGTTTTCATTTGTTTTCGTTTGCTTTTGAGACAAGGTCTCACTCTGTAGCCCACACTGACCTCAAACTTTTGGTGACCCATCTTGCATCAGCCCCCAAGTGTTAGGCTTATGGCACACATCAGTGTATCTGGCTAAGACCTTTGCTGGGGTTGGCAGTGGATGGGGTTGGAAATCTCAACCTTTATACTTCAAAGGCATGCTTTCTTTTTCTTTCTCTCCCTCTCTCTCTTTCTGTTTTTGTTTTTTGAAAACGGGCTTTCTCTGTGTAGCTTTGGCTGTCCTAGATTCACTTTGTAGACCAGGCTGGCCTCAAATTTAGAGAAATCCACCTGCCTCTGCCTCCTGGAGTGCTGGGATTACAGGTGTGTGCCACTGAGATCGGCTTCAAAGGCATACATCAGTCAATGTTTCTCTCATATTTTCCATATGCATATTCATTTGGGAGCGTGGTACTCATGTGCCATGCTAATCAGAGAACGATGGATAGAAGGCCATTTCTTTTTCCACCATTTGTGATCAAAATCAGTTTGTTTGTTTGTTTGTTTGTTTGTTTGTTTTTATAACAAACTCAGTGTTTCAGTCTTGACAGTGATCACCATTATTCACTGAGCCATCTCACTGGCCCCTCTCTCAGATTTTTGGTTTCAAAACTTTTCACTCTTAAAATAATTCAGAGTTCCATGGAGCTCCAGAGACAGCTCAGGTTGACAGCACTTGCCGCGCTTAGGGAGGACCTGTGTTTGGTTCCCAGCACCCACAGTGAGCAGCTAGCTCATAACTGGCTGGAACTTCCATTCCAGGGGACCCAAGCTCCTCTTCTGGCCTTCCTGGGTACTACATGCATATGGTATGGAAACATACACACACACACACACACACACAATCAAACACGCACACATACATACACACACATTTTTAATGAAAGATAATCAGCCAGAAAACAAAACAAAACAACTGTCAGGTGTGCTAAGTTCAAGACCTCGAGACCAGGTTGGTCTGCCTAAGATGATGACTCAAAAAAAAGAAAAATTGTATGTTTTAAGTCAAAGGCTTTGTAAGAAGGGTGCCATTATTCCGCATCCTTGCAAATCACTTCAATGTCTAAGAGCAGACAGTTGGATTTTCTTTTTGTTCTCATGATACAAATGATAAATTATATTTATACAGTAAGTACAAACAGCCAACACAATTATAAAACCAACCACCAGCCCTGCGACTGAGAAACATCTGGGTGACAGGAAGGGTGTGGTGGCACGCGTGAAGCGCACGTGGCTGTGGGGCTGTGGCCGTGGCTTCACAATCAGCACAGCAGGTAGCAGGGCCGGTGTGTGTGCTGGCTGGCGCATGAGAGGAAGGAGCCCGGCAGCTCTTGGGGTGAGCTCCCCTCCCCCCATCAGCCGGCTCTCCCAGCCTGCCCCTGCTGTGACAGCAGCTGGCCAGCAGCGTCTGGAAACCTCCTTCCACCACCTGCACCAACCTCGTAGCTCGCCTGAAAATTCAGTCAACAGCACAGCTGGGGGGAGGGGAGGGGCAAAGGTGGCTGGGCCTTGCTTTCTGGAGGCTCACAGTTAGTGAGTTTGTTGTTGATCAACTCCTTGGCAAGGAGCCTGAAGGCTCTCCCTGGCAGAAGGCATGCACACACCACACCACCTAGAGTCTTGCCAGGTTGATTCGCAGAGTCTGTCCCAGTAGAGCTGGGACATCCCAGGGACACCCTGCAATTTTAGCCCTGGAGGCCTGAGTCAGGGGGGCCTCCAGTTTGAGGCTAGCATGGGCTACCATAGCAAGACCCCTTCCCCCAAGATATGAAAGGTAGAGCTTGCTTCCCGACATGTAAATGTCGTTAATCAAGACACACCAACCAGGCTTTTGCATTTGTTTTCGTTTTGTCATTGTCTTTATTTGTTTTAATGTTTATTTATTATGTGTGTGCGTGTAAGGGAGGGTCCCACATATGGCTGCTCCAAGCTTTGGAGGTGGGAGGATAGATTTCGGGAGTCAGTTCTTTCCTCCCATTGGCTGGGTCCTCAGGTCAGGCTGTCAGGTTTTACAGCGAGGGCCTTCAAGAGAGAACCATCTTGTCCGGCCCTCCTTTGTTTCATGTGTGTGACAGGGTTCACTGTATAGTCCTGGCTGGCCTGAAACTTGCTATATGGGCCAGACTAGTGTCAGTCAAACTTACAATAATCCTATCTATTCTCAAGTTGAAGTTAGATGTGCACACCACAACATCAGGCTAAATTACAAACTTCCTCACCTACCTACTTTCATACTGGGATGGAAGGCCTTGTGCCCACTAGACACCCAGTCTGCCCCTGCACATACTCCCAGCACTCCCCCTAGCCCCTTTCTTAAACCTTATTTCATTATTGGACGGGGGGTATGTGCCCACGAGTGCAGGTGCCTGCAGAGCGAGTCGGATCCAGCGAAGCTGAAATTACAAGTGGTTATGAGCTGCCTGGTGTGGGCGCTGGGACAGAGCTCGGGTCCTCCGCAAGGGCAGCCAGTGCTCCTGACTGCCGAGCCTCCTTGCCAGCTCTTTTGTTTTTATTTCTCAGATTTTTTTTTTTTTAAATATTTAGTTAGTTATGTGTTGGAGGGGGCATGTGCCTCTCTCTTTCCACCTCGTGTGTCCTACAAATTAGACTCAGACCATGAGGCTGGACAGCCAGGGCCTTCAGGCAACTCACTAGCCCCCCAACTTCACCTTTTCCTAAAAGAGTCATATTTTGATATCATGGGAATTTTTACAAGATTAAATATTGGGGGACTGGGGAGATGGTTCAGTTCAGCTCCGAGGACCCCATGTCATGCTGCTCACAACCATCTGTAATTTCAGCTCCCGGGGGCTCTGACATGTCCGACCTTTGAGGACATCTGTGTTCGTGTAAACCCCCACACACACAATCATATTACTAAAAACAACAATAAACCTTTTTAAAAAAAGATTAAATAGTGGGGTTTAGAGTAGCCTCAGCATACATAAATTCCAGAAATGCAGATTTTCAAGAATACATGCTGAAATTTGTTATTTTTTGCATTTTAAGCATTTAGAAAACTTTATTATATTTATTTATTTATTATGTATATGAGTGATCACACACCAGAAGAGGGCATCGGATCCTGTTGCAGATGAGCCACTGTGTGGTTGCTGGGACTTGAACTCAGGACCTCTGGAAGAGCAGCCAATGCTCTTAACCACTAAACCATCTCTCTAGCCCAAGCATTTCTTCTAGATTTATTTTGCTATTCTGTACGTACAAGTGTTTTGCCCGCATGTATATCTGTGCGTGACATTTGTGCTTGGTGCCCAAGGAAGTGGGGAGCCTTCATGTGGGTGCTTGGAATCGAACCCGGGTCCTTTGTAACAAGTGCTCTTAACCACTGAGCCAACTCACCATTTGAAGCTCCCCTAAGGCATGCCGTCCCTCTGTGTCCCGGGCTGGCTTGGAGCTAACCCTCTGCCTCACCCTCCCAGATGCTGGATGGCCGATATGAGCCACTCCTTCCCCCGCATGGGAAGGTGCTATTGCTAGAAGGTGAGCTGGCCGGCGTAGCATTGAGCCCCTCAGTGACAGGTTCTTTTCTCCCTGAGGCAAAGTGGAGGAGCATGTCTTCCTCTCTGAGACCTACCTGGGCTGGTCAGGAGTAAGGACATAGGGTCTGACCAGACTGCACGCCCAGGCGACACAATCAAGAAGCAAATAACTTTGTCAGAGGCTTTTCCAATGTGATTTCTTTCCTTGACGTTTAAGGGACTGAGAACTATAAGAGATGTTTGCCAGGGCTACCATCCATCCATCCAACCATCGTCCATCCATCCATCCATCCATCCATCCATCCATCCATTCATCTATCCATCCAACCATCCATCCATCCATCCATCCAACCAACCATCCATCCATCCATCCGTCTGTCCATCCATCCATCTGTCCATCCATCCATCCATCCATCCATCCATCCAACCATCCATCCAACCATCCGTCCATCCATCCATCCATCTATCCAACCACCCGTCCATCCATCCATCCATCCATCCATCCATCCATCCATCCATCCGTCCGTCCATCCATCCATCCATCCATCTAACCACCCGTCCATCCATCTATCCATCCATCCATCCAACCGTCCGTCCGTCTGTCCATCCATCCATCCATCCGTCCATCTGTCTATCCATCCATCCATCCATCCGTCCATCCGTCCATCCGTCCGTCCATCCGTCCATCCGTCCATCCGTCCATCCGTCCAACCATCCAACCATCCATCCATCCGTCCATCCGTCCATCTGTCCAACCGTCCATCCATCCAACCACCCATCCATCCATCCATCTAATCATCCATCCATCCAACCAACCATCCATCCATCCAACCGTCCGTCCGTCCATCCATCCATCCATCCAACCATCCATCCATCCGTCCATCCGTCCATCCGTCCGTCCGTCCGTCCGTCCGTCCATCCAACCATCCATCCATCCGTCCATCCATCCGTCCGTCCATCCATCCATCCATCCATCCATCCAACCATCCATCCATCCATCCAACCATCCATCCATCTAACCATCTGTCCA